ACATTTTTGTTAATAGACAAAGATGAGGAATCTTAGGATAGGGTATCACTGTACTCACAAGGGTCTTCATGTTTATGCGCACTATCCAAGATCAGGCGAATCTCTGTCTGTACAATCGGGCCACGTAGACTTTATATAGCCGACGAACAATACGAGCGTCTAATACAGACGTCTGTAAATAGAATAAACGCGAAACATTTTACAACAGGGGCCCGCCCTGATTTTCATATGATAAAAACGCAAAAAAAGTCTGGTTTTCTGTTTAATATCCCTAAAAGCGAAATGAAGACATATCAAGTAGATTATTTTAGTGAAAAAACAAGAAGAGAAAGAGATCAAAAAATCATAGCACAGAGAAAAAACGAGAAAGAGTTAGAAATAAAGAGAGAGAGAGAGAGATAGAGAGAGAGGAGAAAAGGGAGGGAGAGAGAAAGAATAAGAAAAAGTGAAAAAGGGAGGAATAGAGGGAGGCTGGAATGTCAGCAAGAACAGAATTATGATTGCGCCAAAACGCGAACGTTCTATAAACGATGTTGTACAATTCGCTTGGCAAAAAGTGTCAGCAGGCGATGGGAACGTTTGATCGATCGCTGTATCTCGTCGATCTCCCGATTTATTAGCGAATGCTCGCGAAGAAAGACTGAAGATTGGATCCAAGCAGAACAGCAGGTCACGATAACATTATATATAATGAATCATAACGTTAAAATGAATCATAACTGAAAAAGTAAGTTTTAATCATTTTGGAATCATTGTGACACTATCTTAATATCATGATGACATTGTTCTTGAGGAGACCCAATATAAATCAAGAAGAGCAATCAAGGTTGAGACAAGCGTTTAATCGCAAGTTTTTCGACACCGTTTATTATATCGAGTTTAACGTGACGATTAAACGCTGTCAATTATTCGTTCGTGAGAAGAAAAACACTTTTTAATATCTTTGAAATTAAAATTATTCTGGACATTGACATTCTCTTGACCATAATAAATTATAAAATACAGGTTCGCGCACATTAATAACCATAACGTGATCCACGATTTATTATGTTGAATTAAAAGCTACTCGAAATTCCGTCACGTAAAAGCGCGTCTAATTACTTAATGAGCCATCACAATTTACTTCGAGACATAATATAAAAAAAAAGTGCTAGTTAATAATTGCATCAAACATAATTGAATATCTGATCTTTTATTGTGAGATCTAATAAATGATTAACAATTAGATAATTCAATCAACAATTAGACAAACGAGATTTGGATGATGATTAAATCAATTACATCTTTGCACGGAAAAAATAATATATGAAATAATTAAATAATTATATTAACATTAGTTAACAACAAATTAGTTAACAACAACATTAACAAAAAAATTTTGTTAATTGAATAACAGTATTGATGAAATAAATAATATTTTATTAAAATAAGGATTTGATGTGTTGATGAGAAAAACATCGTTTTTTCTTGTAATACAGTCTCACACCGCAAAAATAGAGAAATGTATTTTGTCACTTTAGTAAAAATCGACCAATCAGTTGTATGAATATTAGCCGAACAATATTCATCATTGGTGGGGTGATACTGTTAGGTAAGATAAAATCACCGATTGTATATAAACCAAGCATTCTTAGTTCTCGATGGTTATAAAACGGTGACACTTCCATTCAGGATTGAACGTAACAATGAAGTCTTTGGTAAGTAACTTTATTGGATTATTGGATTACTAATTTTAATAATTAATCAAAAAATTCCCTTGAGAAATTTAATATTGTTACAGCTATGATACATGAAAAACATAAAATAGTAAGATGTAAGCAGTAAGTGAACCGACCAATCACAATAGAAACGTGAAACAATAATATAAATCCAAAATATTGGTTTACTAATTATTTGCGTCTTACTGTTTAAATTTTTTGTGTGCTATAGCCTTATAAATATTAAATTGATTAATGTTTAATTATTTATTTTAAGTAAAGCACTTTTGCTAATATTTTTAATACTCAAAATAAGTAATTAACTAATTTAATACTTACAGTATTAAATTTCTTTAAGGATTATTGAAAACTTTACATCCTTATTTACCCCCATTAATGATTAGATAAGTTATTGGAATTGCGATAAAATGTACAATGAGAATCGCAAAACGATATTTCCTTCTGATTATTATTTAGAGATTAATTTTCCTAAAATGTTAACGTCGAGGAGTGCTATTTTATTCATTTTTGGAAAAAAATGTTTGATTGAATTAACTGAAATTCTGGTAGAAAATGAATGAGCCAGAAGTTTGGTTAAGTCTATTAGATTCTGATTAAATTTACTAAATATTGTTATTTCAACTATAATTTTAATTGATTTAACTGAAAATCTTGTAGATTTATAATTAAAATTCTGGATCATTTATTTTTCATCAGAATTCTAGTTAATTCAACCAAACATTTTTTTCTATATGTGTTGATAGATTTTCTTAATCATCAACGTTGCCATAACTTTGGCTATGCCAACGCATTACCAGTATCACGGACCACCGGCGCCCATAGGCCATGATGGCAGGGTCATGGACACGCCGGAAGTAGCACATGCCAAAGCGGCGCATTTAGCTGCCGTAGCGGAAGCTGTCGCGAAGATTCCGCATAGCGTGGCTTCCTATGCGGAAAATCAGAACTATCACGGATATGCAAACCCCGTATCAGTTGACCATCAAATATATCACAGCGGATACGGATATCACGGGCCGCCTGCCCCGTTAGATCATGATGTAAGATTTTTATCCTATTCATTGTCAGTGGAACAATTGGGGAGTTCGATGTAATAATACTTTGTGATTTGATAATAATGCAGAAATAATTCCTGAAAATGTGTTCAATTTAAATCATCATTTTCCTCGAAGATGATTTTCTTGAAGATTGAACTATAATCTAATAACAATAATAAAATATGATATTGATTATTCTATTCTCTAAAACTTTTAGAGAGTAAAATCTCTCTCACTCTTAAAAATTGAAAATTAAGTCATTTTTTTTCAATTTTCACTCTTCAGATGAGATTCCACTCCAAAGAATTTAGAGAGTATGCGACTTGTTATACAGCAATAAAGATATTATTATTATTAATAGTAGTTTACATGCTTGAAATTTTGTAAACTTCTAAAAATGGACTTTACATTCTGTATATAGTAGAAATTACAATAATTGATTCGAAAATAGTTTGACAACGTCAGGGAGAAAAGCTAGACGCAAGAACATCATCGCTCTCCATTTCTCATTGTCCCTTTTATTTTCAGGGTCGCGTAACAGACACACCGGAAGTGGCCCGAGCAAAAGCCGCGCATCTAGCGGCTTACAATTACATAGCTTCCTCGACACCTGTCGCGTATGATCATTCACAAATTTACAAGCCACCGGTTTACAATCATGACGGCTATTATGATGGCGGCTCGTTAAGTCAGTCTCACGATGACAGAGAGATTAATGATTACTAATTTTGATTAAAAAAAACGTACTCGGCAACGTGACAGTCGAGTTGACACTTTTCACGATTAAATGATGACGATGCGTTTAAAATCGGCGCGACAAAATTATGAAATTGACGTTGCCACAAAGTTGCACAATTGGAAAAAGCGTTAATTTCATGTGGATGGTAATTAGTTATACAATGTGTTTTCAAGTTTCGTGATACGGTGTAAATGATATGCACCTTGCATCATCGGCTTTCAGGCTGAACCATAAGATGCACGCATTGGATCGTTATCTAAGACGCATTTTAGCTTGTAAGAAATATAAAGCATTCCATTGTTATTTCCTGATTTCCTATTTTATTACAATAGTATGCTCTCAATATTGCTGTTTTACTGAATTAAGTATTTCTTTAATGGACAGCATAGATTTTGCGTAGATTCCTTTGCAAAATGAGAAAAATTTACGGGATATATTGTATCTATAAGAAAATTCAATATTCAATACTTAAAATGTATTTGTACAGTTATTCCACATACAACAACTGAATTTTAATTTATAATAACATTATCATTATGTAATCTTGTTATATTATTTTGATTATGGAAAATCATGTTTAATTATGATATAAGATTATGATTGTTAACGTAGATATATAGAATATTGAACAGAATGTAACTTTTAAAATGATGCAATATAATATGTCCTGTGTTATTTATAAACGTTAAAAAAAGGGTACAAGTTAAAGAGATATATTTTAGTAACACGCTATAATAATCAAATCTTAATATCATAATAATTGATTGCAATTCATAACATGCATGTAATTGTATTATTATCTTGACTACAGAAGTTTAATTATAATATAAGATCATGATTGCGACATAGATAGAATGTCGAACAGAATGTAATGTTTTAAGTAAATGGTTCTGTATTACAGTTTATGAATTTATAAATACATAGAAAAAAGAGTGCGATTTAAAGAGATATACCTATTTTGGTACCTTACATTATAATAATCTAATCTTAATATCATAATATATATTATTGCTTGTAATATTGCAACTATTTTGACTACGAAAAATCATATATTTTATTACGATGTAAGATTGTGATTTCTAACTTAGATGGAATATCGAACAGATAATATTTCAATGATCGATCTTATGTTATAATTTATAAACATTAAAAGGAAAATTTAAAGGAAAATTTAAATTTATTTTAGTACAACATGCTATAATAATCGAATATTAATATCATAACATTATCGCATGTAATAATACTGTCTTTACTTGGAAGATCATGTTTATGATGTAAAATTATGTTTGCTAACATAATAGAAATCGAACAGAATGTAACTTTTTAAGTGATCTTGTATTATGATTTAACATTAGAAGGAAGAACGTTATTTAAAAGATATGTATTCCAGTGTATGTGTCTGTGTGTTTATATCTTATGTTATATGTATCTGTTATAATAAGCAATCTTGATAATATAATCTTATTTCTATATCTTGATTACAGAAGCTTATGTTTAATTATAATATTATGTAAGATAATAATTGTTCTCAGATAACCAACTATGTTGCCATTTTGCTATCACTTATTCCGCATTCAATTTCATCAAATTAAAGCCAAGATGTTTCTACAAATTGTCTGTTGTTCTGATGTCACGTAAAGAATTCCTTAGAATTCAGCAAACTGTTGGCAAGTTGTCATGCGTGAATGGTATGCCGTCAGTTTGCTGTCAACGTGACGAGTTTATTATCTCTCAATGTATATTCTTACAATTTCGTAAATTCATGAAATCTATTTGCTCTCCTGATGCTAACTTATTTCACATTAGATTTCAATGACAACAAATTATCGACAAATTGAAAACAATACATGCAGTGCATCAATTTGTTCCATATGCTAAATTTCGCATGGCTATCTGAGTTATAACTTAAATAAAATATTGAACAGGCTTTAGCTTTTAAACTATGTGCTTTTTAAACTATGAAATATCGGCACGGTTATAATTTATAATGCAAGAAGAAAAGACGAGATTTAAAGAGATATATCTTGGTACAGCACATTATAAGCTACATCATATCGTTGTCGAAAAACGATGTATGCAACAGGCATACCTGTCAACATTCGTCTGCGGCCTCGCAAGCTGGCTGGCGGCATATCTTGTTGTCTTTTTACATTTGCGAATGAATCCGAAGAATGATTGATCCAGTCACTTAACCAGAGCTCCCATTTCATATAGTCACAGTCGAATTCAATTCAAGGCTCGCAACATTTCACATGACGACTCCGATCCTTGAGCTATTGGTTTCATATTTTATATCGACATTATTTGCGTCACGTTGACATCATTTGCAATATCGACAAATCCCTCTCGGTCCATAAAGAAACGCTAATTTCGAATATAAATATCTTATGATTAATAAAAAACTTTAATCTCCATTTCATTAAATCTTTGATAGTTATCTTTTTTGTTCCTCTTTTGCGTGTTTCCTTTCAATGTCTATTTGCATTCACATTACATGTATTTACATTTAATTTGATGGAATATAGCTGGCTTTCTCTTATTTTCACTTCTCTTTCGTCAATTTTGAAAGTCGATTTCCTCATAATGAAGCAATTTTCCATAGCAATTTTCCACGCAAATCTCAAAGTATCTTATATAATTACGCGTGTAATTATCTTAACACAAAGAATCGAGATTTATCGTAATAACCACTCGATTCATCTAATCGGTACTTATAGAAATCGCGCTACGGGATCGATGAGTCGACCCACACATGTCTGAGTTCGAAGGAAAACAACAAGTTAGCCGGCTAATTGCAGACATCATTTAATAGGCATTTAAGGCCATGCCCGGCTCGATTATGGTCATACTGTGCTTATGCTAATAAACAATAGGGTCGCCAGGCGTGCCAAGATTATCTTGAATTCCAAGGAAAAGGGCTTTTGTTTCTCGCGACAGTCACATCGTGCATATCTATGCGTTATAAAGCGCCCACACGAATACCAGGAAAATTTTTCATCCAATTTTGAAATGGTGAAAACAAGTGAAATTTTTATTCGCACGCGTTTAAAGAATAATTAACAACGCAACGTTCCGAACAGCGGTCATGCGTTACTCGTTACGAAATCATGTCACTCTACATGAGATGTACCAAAGTACAAAATATTACATTTTTTAAATTATTCAAAAAAGGGGAAACGTGTTTTCTTGAAAACTGCCCTGATGAAAATTTTTCTCAGAATTTTTCATATAATTTTTCAGAATTTCTATATAATTTTACAACTTTCTTACTTTTTTTATACGAATTGGAACACTTCTCAGAAAATCTACATCTTTTCTCAGAATTTTTCATATATTATATTAATTATGAAATATCGTAAGATTTCTAAGATTTTTTATAAATATAATATTATAAAATTTCTGATGAAATGTTATAAAATCTAAAAAAATTTTTTAATATTTTTTAAAAATTGGATGAGAATAAGATGAGAAATTTTAGAATATTTTAGAATTCACTTGTATGAACAATTCTGAGAGAAGATATAAATTTTTCGAATATTCTGAAAAGTGTTTGAATTCGTTTAAAAATTATGAGAAAAATTTATACTGCTTCAAAAGGTTGCTTTTACAAAAAATTATCGTAATAAAGATTTAGTCATTACAAAAATTTTTAATTTAAGTTCAAAACATTGTAAGTGTCAATAAAAATGCAAGTGAAAATGTAATATCGCCACACCTCATTTTTCTCCGGTTGTAGCAGCACTTTCCATCAGATATAGAATCTAGAACACAATACACTTACAACTCATTCATATACTAAATATAATAAAATGCGTTTGCACGATTTTTACGTACATTTTGCTGTACTACTATAATGAGTGATAATAACCTTATATTTTTACAGTTATAAATATGAAACAATAATTGTATAAATCATGATAAAACAAGATAAGATGGATAAATAAAATAAATCATTTTTATATAGCAAATGAAATTGCAATTATAAATGACTGTTTTTTTATTTCATTTTTTAATCGCTTACTATTACATGGTAATAATAACAAAAAAAATGTAGAAAATGTAAAAAAATAATTAATCGTTTTACATCTCTATTCTCTTTTAACTCTATTTTGTAACTCTTAATTATTTTTGAGTAGTTTTATCATATAAAACTGTGTATGATGATTATAATTTTCCAGTTGAAACAGCTATAATTTTCATGATTAAAATAACTGTAAATGTACTTGACATTGAAAATGACTATAAATTGTTGTTAACTATAAATTAACTATAAATTGTGTTGTTAACTATAAATTGTGATAAAAACTTTTTTTTTAAATGCATTTTTTATAAGTTGCTACTTTTAATACAATCTTTCATTTATTAAACTATTTAGAGCGATTTTACTAATTAATCAATTGTGTTAATTCACCATATTTACGTATATACGTACAAAGTAATAAGCTTAACAATTTGCTATTATGTGCAAATGTATCTTACAACTCGGTCGTGTTGCTCAACGATATTACGTTGGCGTAGCACGTATAATGAATTAACGCTTACAAAAACGCATGTTATGAATTTACTACATTTCCTTTTAATAAATGTAACAGATATAAATCGCTTAAATAAATATTAAAAAGTAGTTTCTGCAAGTTTCAAATCATCCTTCCGCAATTACAAATTTCCTTGAATAAAATTCTCAACGATTTCTAGAAGATATTTTCTCTCTAAAAGATCCTAGAAAATTAATGCGTTTTAATTTCTATCGGAAGAAGCTTCCGTTTTTTAGCAAAATAGCAAAATTCTTGATTCCTTGAAAATTTTCTCCCATGAGATATTATGGATTCTTAAACGTCGAAGCGATCTGCACAAAGAGAATTTCGTCAAGAAATGAGACCTTGAGGAAATGGAATTTTCGATCGAGCAAAAAGACGTATTTGCACCTGCCGATACATATCGGATGTCGCTCGTCAAAAAGCGATCCGTCCAGGAAAAGTTCTCGATTTCGAGGACACGCGGCCGACCTTCATTTCATGCTCTTTTTCTACATCGCACCTCATACATTTTAATTGCGCCTTGTCCCTTCCACTTTTCGGCAGCTTTGATATCGGCAAGGACGGCCGTTGATCGGCCGCACCTAACAGTATCGGGAAGTCGCGGTATAGTTGTCTTAATGCAGTGAACGGAGATCCTCCGCTGGCGATGCATAACCTTGTTAATTTTGTTTTTTTTTTATTGAAGATTTTTCTCGCGGATAATATAGGGATGTGTTAATAAGGCACTGACAAATGCGATATAAGTGTTCAATATCATACTTTTACACCTTACCTTTTATTATACTTTTAAATAAATGCAATGAAGAGATTGCGAATACATAATAAAATTAATTGATCCAGATTAAGGCTGCATCCAGTTTGAATACTCAGACATTATAAACTTCATTCTGTCTTCTTTTCATAAATAATTAATGATAAAAATAGAATGAAGCTTATCATTAATCTGCAACTAGACATGGCTCTTGATAAGCCTAGTTTTCAAATAGTGTGATGATTTGGAATAATTTTGTTTTACAGTTTGTTTTATTTATGTAGTACTATCATCGTACTATATTTATACTAATTGTAAGTTCAAACGTTACAATTCTTAAAGAAAATAAAACTAATAACAAAAAGACTTTCAAGGACTTATGTGTTCTTTTAACACAAAAAATATGTATTATTGTTGCTAATTAAATAATTAAATTAAATTATATGCAAGATTCAGCATAGAAAAAAAATGTGATGTATTTGTCTTAACTTTAAATTACATCGCTCAGTTAAGCTTCACTTAATACATTATAAATTCACATGCGCGTACAGGAAGATGATAGTTTTGCACCTTGCAGTTATACGTCCATAAAAGGAATGCTTATTATCCATCATATTCGCGATAAACAAGGCTTCATGGCCGAAGTCACTTTCCACGCAATTCATCAAGCAAAAAATAATCGACCCTTCGTGCGGCCAACCGCGTCGAACTTCCTGTTGGATCAGCCGGGCCCTTGGCGGTCTCTCTTAACGATGATGATGAGGAGCATGAAAGAGCCGACCAACGAAGTCGGAAGACTGTACGAGACTGACCTCGGTGATGCATCCACATCTGAGGAGAGGTATATCCCTTCCCAGACAGATTCAGACGATAGCAGAGACTCATTAACGTAATGTCAATGTCAGATCTTTGAGGCATGACACAGGGTGTGGTCCCCTCCTACGGGTTGACGACTCCCTACCAGAATTCACATATATAAAAGGGGATACGAGCTTCAACACAGTACGACATAGCAGTCCATACTTTAGGGCGAGTACTGGTAATCATCCAGCAGCGCTTCATCACGTTGAGAAAACATGAAGTCTCTCGTGAGTACCATCGGTCAATGGCGGATCTCTGAAAGCTAATCTTACGGGCGAAAATTGTATACAATGGTCTATTCCATGATCAACATAATTATTGTTAAATACTAATGATACAATATCTATTTATTAGTTTTAATTGGAGCCAATACATTGGTTTCGTTATTAATTTTTTAAGTTACTTCAATTTTGGGACTAGATACTTCACAAATATTTAGGATAATAATGGATAGAATTTACTCGTGTATTTATTTTGCAGATTGTTCTATTCGCATTCTCCGCCATCGCGACGGCAACACCAGTCTTGGACACGCCGGAGGTAGCGCAAGCGAAAGCGGCGCATCTCGCCACCCAGGCTTATGAGGCCGCGAGAAACACGATCGGTTATGGATGGCCCGGTTATGGATGGTCCGGTTATGGATGGCCCGCCCTTTATGCACCTGCAATTGCATACGGCGCTCCCATCGGCGCGGATGGCCGAGTGATAGACACACCTGAGGTCGCCCAGGCCAAGGCTGCCCATCTCGCCGCTCACGCCCAAGTATGACACTCTTGGTTTAGAGATGGTTGCGCAAACGACAATAGCAATCCGATATTCAACATAACATCGTTATTATTAATCGTTATTATTAATCGAGAGCCGCTGAGACAACGTTGATCTACGATATAGAAATATTACGTATATTCAGGTGTAGCCGCGATCCGATCATTTTGTTCTATATCATTTTATTTCAGAGACTTTTTGATAACGTTAATTCATCTTTTGTGATTCCTCTGCGTCGCAATCTGCTATCGACGATTTAATTAAATATTTATTCATACAGGAGGCTGCCAAGACAATCGGACTGGTTCCATACGGTGCACTAGCGTACGCCACCTCGCCTGCATTCTATCCTTACGCTCCACTTGGATCTGATGGCAGGGTAATCGACACTCCTGAAGTGGCCCAGGCTAAGGCAGCACATTTGGCCGCACACGCTGCAGCAGCCCGAAACGCTGTTTAATAAATTGTAAAGTAACCATTGGAAATTGCGTATTGATAAAATCAAGCTATCTCTACCCAATTGCGAAAGTACATGCGGAGACATTTGTGCCATGATTAGCCATGTTTTATATGGATCTGATATGAGAAAATTTTATCAATAAACAAGCCATTTTTAAAAATTGTATGCGGTTTGGATTCGTTTTCATTAAATAAATTAAATTCGGAAGTATTTGATATATTCAATTTAAAAGATAATCTAATTTTCTTATATTGTGATTTAATGAGTGTTAAATAACAGAAATAAATAGAAATAATGGGTCTTTAAATACAACGAAATGTACACAAACGAGTTAAACTTTTCGTCGCGATATATAATTTTGAACCTTCCATTAGAAATCTGGATCTTTAAATTTGGATCTTTTTCATTCTTTACGGTTCTATCCTAGGTATTTCCTGTTCGACCGATTCCTGTTCGTGCAAATTTCTCGCAAGTTCTATGAATTAAATTGTATATTGTATTTTATTATTTATCAAATAAAGTTTAAACGTTCTTTAAAAAGATTTTTTTTTTTGGTTTGCAAAATCAGATGTGTACACAAATTCATACAGAAATATTTAAGCACTAAGACATCCATTTTGACTAAATACATATAGGTTCTGTTATTTAAATCTTCTGTTATTTAAATTTATTCTCATCGGTCTAAATTTGTATCATAATTATTTAAGAAGTAACATCTAGATGAAAATTTTCAAAAAAGCGAAAAAACTTTTTGTCTGAAATGCTTTAGAATCTTAAAAATAAGGAGTAATGGTTTTATACGTAAAAAAAATTTTTTTAAATAGTTTTACGACGATTTTTCTTAAAGCGTAGCGTGACGCTATCTAAACGCATCGAAGAACAATGTTAGTTCAAAATGTATTAAGAAAGCAGCTGAAAAGAAGAAGAAACTTGAAAGATAGTAAAAAGACATAATGGAATTACTGTGTCTGATAGGACGTGGAGAAAGCGAGAATTTTCGTCAATTCGACTGTATGGTCGCTCGCTCTGAAAACGTCTTCAAGTGACAAAAAAATAATCAACATCGCTGCAAATATCGCAACTTGTATTTTCAATGATGGTCAAGTATAATGGAAATTACGCAAGTGTTACAACTGACTATAGGCTACAATTGCTATAATTTTTGCGTCGAGGCTGACGCGCGCCGCGTTAAGTTTGCATTCGCTTACAGATATCGCTAAGGACGATGTAGAGCTTCCACATCCTTCAGAAAAAGAGGAAAACAAATTTCAATGCGGAAGGACAGTTATAAAAACATCGTGCAAACATCGTGCAGACTAAAGATAAATTAAAAATTTCTATAGTTAAATATGAAATAATGTTACTCAAAACTTGAAACACGTTTTCTTGAAACCATGTTTTTTTAATTGGCTTGCAGCATAACTTTAACAAACTTTATCCGCTTCACTTGAAGCTTTTTACAGCAGTTGCTAAACTAAATTCTCTAGAGAACCACACATGATTTACAATCGGTTAAAAATTTTTTTTTATTATAAATACTTTTTTATTGAATTTTTTCAATAAAATGAAACTTTATAGTCACAACACACACACGCACGCACGCACGCACGCACGCACGCACGCACGCACGCACGCGCACACACACACACACACACACACACACACACACACACACACACACACACACACACACACGTTCACCATTTCTACAAAAATCAATATTTTAACATATAGATGGGTTACTTTTCTAATAAATTTAATGTAGATTATAAAAAAATTTTACTTTTTGTCCTTAGTACCATAAAAGTGTACAGCACTTCTGCTGCAAACTCCTGGAGGCTTATGAGAAAAAGTCTCTTATATTGTAGAGCTCCAGTACCGCCATTTTGACACAAAAAATTAAACAAAAATTGTTTTATATCCTTAGATATATGTAGATACATTAAGGCCTTCAATTCGAATTTCCACTCATCTTGTTATTTGACTATAAAAAATTTACAAAATTACTCTGTTTTCAGATATTCACCTAGATGTTACCCCTTAAATATTGTTATATAAATATAATATAAAATTTGTTTTAGAAAGTTGTATTCGTAAATTTTTAGAGAGTGGTACACTTGCACACTGTTGTAATTGTCCACTGCTAATCACAGCGACTTCTGCGTAGGGAATTTTCTTTTCTAGCTCTGTGATTGGCTTGTGCGCAACTGGCTCGTGTATAATTGATCCAATTTTTAAAGATTTTAAAATCATTTTAAAAGTAGGTAAAAAATGGACGGATTCAAAATACCCAGATTTACATCAGTGAGGCATCGTTTTGTATTTGATACCGCAAGGGGCACAATTTCAAACTGTAAAAATCTAAAAAAATTCTTGTATACTTGTAAAAGCTTTAACGAATTTTTACTATCACACAGAAATCAAGTTGTATTTTAATCATTTTTTAAGCATTTTCCACTGTGCAACACCGCTAGATTTTGATATTTTTGCAACCGCTAGATTTTGATATTAACATATACTCAATTGATAGCTACCACTCGAATTGTATATAAAAGTACTTTTATTTTTTTTCTATGCAGCCCTATGAGCGGAGTTATATATAATTACACAGATCTAAATTGTTTATTTTATAATGATATTCTGATTTATTTATTTAGTTTTTAAAAACTAAGATTTTTAAACATCAAAATTTTGATGACATTTATGTACTTATTGTTAGAAACGCCAAAATTAAAAACAATATTATTGAAGTTAATTAGAATGATAGGAAGGGGGAGGGGATTGTATATCTTAAAGCATGAACACAATCTGAATTTCAACTTAAACTGATTTTCATTATCTTTAGAAAGGAAGAAAACTGAATTCAGTGTAATGCTTTTTTTGCACCAGTTTTATCTATGAAAGATTACATTAAAAATATGTAAACTGATTTTCACAATGGAACAATACAATTACACTCAGTGCTGCACTAGTTTCCTCAACAAAAAACTATATAGATTGAAATTTATTTACTAAAATTCATAATAAAAATTGACTGTTTCTCTAAAACCCCACATTACCAGCTGAAGGACAATTAATTTAAATTGTTTTCTAAAAAATATTCAATAACCACATAAAAATTCTAAAAAAGAACAGACACACGTCATTCTGTATATTATTACTCGGCCTTTCCGATTTCGAGTGCTTTCCGCGCCATGGCCACCGCGCCGTCCTTAGTTTTATGGCCACCGACGAACCGAACAGAGTGCACGAATATGGCGCCTTCAATTCCACATGCTTCCACAAGGGCATCAGCGCGCAAACCGCCCCACGCTGCTGGCAAAAACATTCTGCACACGAAACTTCCCAGCGCTACCGGCATACATTGAACCCGATAAGCGTTATCAGCCTCAAAAATGGTGTATTTTATTGACGGCGACACGTTCATATCCTTCTCCAGTTGAAATAAATGTTCCTTCCACGGTACTGCTTGTGACAATGCTATTATCTCTCCGCTCGGATCGATCTTATGGAAATATTTTAAATTTAAACCACAATCTAAATGTCTAAAGCAAAAAGATAGAGGTAGAGTTCTCCTTACTTCAAATCGATTCTCCACAGCGCGTCGCACGAGATCTCTTGCCGGTAACCATACCTTTTTCGAGTATTGTACAAATTCTAAAAATTCCTCCAGAACCAAAGCCATAGCTTTCTCAAATTGTTTCTCGATATCCACATTCTGACTGTTCCATTGAGGATTCAGTCTGCTTACGCGCGCGCTTAAATCGGTAACTATTCGATATCTGAAACAAACGCAAGTGCAATAATTTTGAAGAAGATTATTGCGCAATGTATCATTATAAGTGTCTGCTTACAATGGCTCAGCATCATACATGGGTATGCCATTATCTATACCATCAATTTCCTTGATTAGAGTGTCGTAGATCTTCTTGAAAATCTCATCGATGATTTTATCTTCTGTTATATTCGAAAGTATATTCCTTAATATCTCATGACCGAAATGGCAGTAGATCAGTCCGGCACTGCTTAGTTTTATTGTCCAATCGTATCCTGCTTTTTTCATAACGGTACTCATCGATTCTTGAAATTCTCTGATACGATAAAATAATAAATAACACAATGATAACGACAAAAAATAGAAATTTTATTTAATGGCGCCTCTGGTGAAAAAAATTTTCATAATATCATATAATATTTTCATATAATATCATATAATATAAAAATATGTTTTAAATTTATAAAGTTTTCTGAAAAAATACTTTAAACTTTTTCAGATTTTATACAGTGTTTTCTTCAGAAATTATAGAATGAAAAATCTTAAGAATACTTCAAAATAGCTTAAAATATTTTAAAATTCATATATAAAGAATTTTATAGTAAAAAAGGTATAGACTTTCTTACTAGTACTGAAAAGTATTTCAATTCATATAAAAAAATCTGAGATTACACTATTTAAAGAATTTTAAGAAAAATTTTCATCAGAGGTATCATTAATGATATTGATGTCAAAATCTGTAACAAATTACTGAATCTGTAAGATCCATTTTTTTAAATTTATTAATTAAAAGATATTAATTTCAAGGAATCAAAATAACTCATATAAAAAAATGAATACCAAAAATTATAATAAAACTGACTCTAAAGGACTTCTAATTATATGGCAGATAGAAAATTGAGTCTTAGTGAATGAGTTAGTTTTTATAAATATAAGTAAATGTAGCTTATAATGTAATAAATAAAAGATATAGAGTTAGTCATAAATATAGAGTTTAATAATGGATAGATAGTTTTTGAGTTATGAATATTATAGTAAAGATATAAAATGAATATTATATATTGTATTATATTATTATATTGTATTATTGTATTGTATTACTGTATTTTATTATATTATTATTACATTATATTGTATTATTTATACATTAATGATTCATTATCTACAGCAAAAGTCTTGCTTGTGCTTTTTTATTGTTGCAATAAATCAAATTAAATTAGAATTTATGCTCATAAAAAACCTTTGATATATCTAAAAAAATATCCATTATTAAGCCTTTTATTTATAACATATTTTATTTATTACATTATAAGTTACATTATATGTAAAAACTCATTTAATCAAGATTCAATTTTCTATATAATTAATATTTTACAGATGTAAGATAAAAAATTAAATAATTTGACAGAGATATAGTATAGTTAAGTAAGTCCAATAGACTCACCGATCTAAAATAAAAGTAAATTAAAAAGTATGCTAAGTTTACCTCATGTGATGGTCATATCGATGTCTGGATGGATCATACTCTCCACCAACATCCACCACGATATCACAAGTATCCAAGACACTCTGATTTCGAGATCTAAAAATGTAATGGGATATCCATGGATTCTGCAACCCAATATTTTCTATTCATTTTATTTCAATATTATAATTCATGTCATTTAACTGATGTTCTTTTCCAATTTTATCAACATGATTTAATTATTTAACAAATATAAAAATTTATTGGTTATATATTGATTACATGTTGAGACAATATATTGAGTTATATTGGATAATATTGTATCAATATTTATGCTATTAATGTTTATATTTAACTAATACAGACAAAAAGTAAGTTAAAGTTGACCTACATTGATAGAACAGTAAGATTTAGCTTTGTTATAATTACCTCACTATAGAAGCATCCTTATATTGTGGCAATAGTTTGAGGAGCGCGCAGGCGAGGACTTCATCGCAATGAAAAGTTCCGTCGTGCGTACCGATCTTGACGGCTGACTTGCTCGACATCGTTCTGAGAATGAAATCGAATAGGCACGTTTCCCGCCACGTGAAAAATTTGGAGAATCCGCTGAAACGCGCGTTTCTTGGTAATCTACTGAAAACTCGGATCATCGTGCTAAATTACGACTATCAAGTAAATATCTAATATCTATCAATCTTACGAATTCTCACCAGATCGATTCACGAAACGTGAATTCCGCTGGAAGCTCTTTACATGTGGAAGTAATCCAAAGTAACCTTTAAATTGAGGTTATGTGTCTCAACGATGCACATCGCTGACTATACGTTTTATAGAAATACATATGTATACTTGATCTTTTTGAATCCAAAATCTTTTCCCTACCAGCGATTGGTTGACAAATCGAGTTTGAGTCAATAGGGCGACATACATAACTTGTTGCTCACTAATATTTTTAGGTTAAGTGAGAGTTATTCAACAATGTGGTTTGTAATTTCCCGTGTGAAACGAGATTTATCAATTGTTTACTAAATGTAATCTTAATGTATTTAAATGTATTTAAAATTTTAAATATATTTAACATTGCGAAGATGATGCCAAAATCTATAATAATTACTAACACTGTGTCTGTAAAACTCATTTATTTTTATTAAAAACATTAATATACATATATAATTTTAAGGAACTCAAATCAAATAAAAAAGAACATTACTAAGTATATTTTAATAAGAACAATTTAAATTTACAGATGCAACATAAAGAATTGAATTGTTTAATATTTTTGTGTAAAGTGGCCATTATTACAATAATAGAATACAATATTAGAATTAAGAACTAATAGTAAATTCAAACTTTCAACTTGTGTTATTTTTCTTGTGAGAGTGCAATATGTTTTACTATAGTAACATTAAGTATTAGTCAAATTGCTTGTATTATGTTTTTATATAATAACTTTTAATATATTTACAGAATGGTACAAGTGATTGATCTTGTAGCATACGATTCCACTTGATGCAATAGTTCCTCGTCATTGCCAGTTTATAGCGTGTTACTATGTTATTTTAGTTCGTTTAAAGCTGGTCTTGGAAAATGCCAAAACGTACTTGTCCCTTCGAAGGGGACTGTCATCTGTTGCCACAGATGAAAATGCATGTAGGAGAAAAGCAAGTGGATAATGGTGTATCGAGTGATCAGCGGATGAGAGATGTCTATAGTAAGTATTAAGTTTGCATTGTGAGATGTCATATGCTCTTTTTTAAATCTTAAAACTCATTCCTGAAGCTGATCATATTGATCAGTATAATAACTTCCTCTACTTTTATAAAAAGGAAGGAACTTAGTTGAAACAGTATGTAATTCAATGTGGATGAGTCTTTACATTTGACTTTATGTATTTTCAGGTAAGACTCTGAATTTGCTTAAAACAGGTGCGAAGACACTCTCCCATAAATTAAACACGTCAGGGCAAATGGATTCTCTAGATCTACCTTCACCTCAATGTCCATCATCTTGTAAATTCAAATCTATATCTAATATGAAACAGATGCTGTTGACCGATAAATTGCAATTGAAAACTAGTGACAAAGTTGTCAATGTGGGTTGCGAAATTATATTGACACTTGGACCATCTTATATAGCTTGTGACTGTTTGTTTTTCTTCCAGGATATCCGGGTAGACTTCTGCGAGTGTTATCGGTTGATAGATCGATCTACAGTAAGCGCGTGTTATTACTGTGATCAGGCATTGTGTTCTTCTTGCCAGTCTGTGTGCGCCAATTGCTCAGAATTATTTTGTCAAAACTGCTCTCTGCCTGTGTAAGTTATTAGCTATGTATGCCTTTATAAAAACTTTGTATGTGCGTAGTTATATGCATTGTTTTATTTCAGATATAATTGTGACGAACAAATCATGTGCCTTAATTGCTATCAATAACTATCAAAAAGAAAGATATTTTTATGCGAGTTTTTTTACTGATAATTGAAAATTGATATTTATTTTATAGTATTATTGTTTTTTATAGTATTAATGTAAAAAGAAAATTGTTATAAATATATTTTAAATATCATTATTATGCAATAAAAATTTACAAAATGAAAAAATAAAGTACAAATCTATGCTAAAAAAAAAGTTTTGTTTGTCTTATCCTGTATTTTAAATATTAGATAATGTTTCATTAGTATGTAAAAAATAAATATTTAATATAAAAATTTTTAAATGTAAAAATAATGAATAACATTGTTGCTCATATTTCTTTTTTATTTAATGAGAGTTGCAATTGTAGCTTAAGATTTCTTATATTTTACACATAATACATTTAAATAGATTATAATTCTCGCTTCTCTTTCAGTTGTAAATTACAATCAAACGAAGATTTTTAATATGAAATCTTCTGAACTCGTTAAAAAATCTTGGCTGAGATAATATTTTTCACAATAAGTTCTTTATCGAATTTAGGGGAGGATTATTTTATATGGTATATAGAAAATCCAAATGTTTCGCACATCTGAGATAATTAAATTTAAATTAAGAATATATATTTATGTATTCATAATAGTCATTATATTCATAATATCTAACGTTGACCGATTATTGGCGTTCTCTATAATATGTATGTTGTACATTAAAAAATATTTTATTTAATTTAGCTGAGAATATAACAAACTTTAAAAAATTTTTTTAATTCTTTCAAAATTTCTTAGTACACTTTTTATATAAAATAGTTTTATATTTTTATATTTTGTATTTT